CATATAATGGAAATTAATACAACCATACCTTCTTATGTTTATAGCAGTTGAATATGCAGATACACAATACACGTGTAAAAAAAATTTCTAACTTTACATATCATGAACACAATAAATGCTTTGTAAAGCAAATAAAGTTTACTTATATGCCTACCATTAACTACCAACGTCAAAGTAACTATTCTTGAGTAAGACGAATTGTTGCTCTGAGGACCAGCTTCAAACTTGTACGAAATAGTTGCCAATGGAACTTCTATGGGACCAATGTTGATTGTCAATGTTGTTGAAGGATTGCTGCTACTGATAACGCTGGTGGTAACGGTTTTAATTTTTACGTCATTCTGGTTTCTAACATCAACATTAGCGTTTCCATCATAGGATTCAATGTTGAAGAGATTGTTATAAGATCTAGACAATACGAAAAACGAATCCGCGATAAAATTTCGTTAAGATGAAATCTTATTTTCATGTCTTTAGCAATTCAGACTATTTGATTCTATATAATATATACCTAACAAATTTATGACTTATGACTTTCAATGATTAGTATCAAAGTTTGGAAAACAAAATTGAATAATATCATATTATTACGGAAATTCATTTATTCACATAAAATCTTGCCTTTTTCACATTTTGTTCCAAAATACCCTGCATTGCATGTACATGTATACCGTGGGTTTTCAATCTTACAGCTCCCTTTTTTTAGGCACACATCACTACCACAGTTTCCAGATGACACACCTAAGAATATATATAATAATGGATCGTATATAATATTTGTATGTACAAACCTTCAACGAACAACTCATAACTCCTTGCAATATTACATTATTTACGATGTTCATTTTTATATACACTGTTAAAAATTTTCGTAGCTTCAACAAGGAAATGGCAGTTAAATATACATTTCACTTCCCTGTTTTTGTGGCGCCGTAAAATATACTGGGAATTCCTGGAAGAACGATGGAATTTCACTGTAGTCATCTCTTTTGCTTTTCTATTGGCTACTGTATTCTCTCGTTTTTAAACAAACCAATCACAGACGCTTATTTTCTCGCGCCAAAACGTATGCGGCAAGCGATAAAGCGACTGACTGTCACGAACCGCGATCCGCCATTGACCACGAAGGCGAGTTCTTCTGTTTCATTGAGGAAGTTGATCAATGTAGGAGATTTGAGTTATACTGATGGGTAGGAGATACCAGTATATTACCGAACTATGTGATAGCTATATAATGTCAGAAAGTTAAGATGACATATAGGCCTTAAATTGTTTATCAACAACTTGTCAGAAATCTTTTCAAACTTCTAGAATGATTGTCAAGCATGTTAATTAAATTATTAGAGCATGTTACAATTAGAGTAGACCTATAAGAAATCAGTAAAAGATACTGTTATTGCGGGAGATACTCTATGATGAAAGCATCACACGGAACACAGACTTGATATCAATACTGTAACAATTTGCCGATTGCAGACATTCAGACAGGGTGGCCCTTCCTATTTTAGAGTGGATTTCTAGATGAACATTTCACCTACAAGGCAGGGCAGAATGAGTTGCTCAATAATATCGACGAAAAATCGATCAATGTCTGCAGGTAAGTGTTACCAATAATGCATGTCTACGTAGTGGATTACAGAGAGAAGTGCTTTTACCATATGTACAGTAATAAACAAAAAATCAAGTGAGACACTCACAAAGCATATAACTTCTATATTATGTTTCCTAAATCTCTAATATTACCATTAATGAACTTGCCAATTGTGCTAGCTTCGGCCAAATTTGAGCAATGATGAATAAGACCTGTTTTGAATTTATCTCTCACGTGCTCGTTCGCAAGTAGAATTATGATTCCTCATGGTATACACTCGAGACTCATTTCTTGCTGTTCACACTGTGGTTTTCCTTTTCATTAAGCAACACGATCCACCATCTTATCGTGATGTTTGTCAATAGCACTGCGTTGTAAGTCTCTTTAAATATGTAGGCTTTGAGTTTGAGCTAAGTACACTTTCCTTTTTACAGGCTTCTTATTATGTGTCTATTGAGAGGATAATATTGGCAACAGTGAAGGATTTTTCAATGGAATACCATTCATGTCATATTTTTGCCTTTGGTGTACCCAAAGAAGACTGCTGTCGTTCTTGAGTTCATCCAAAGGTAGGTTGAAACAACTTCTATTGAGCATTTTATGACAACTTAATGGTGGTAAGTAAATATATTTTTTGCATACAACTACTCAGATTCTAACTTGACTGCTGTGGAGGATTATTAGTTGTACTGAATAGCAAGCATTATACTAGAACTTTATATGGAGTTAAAAACAGACCAGATGTGCGTGTTTCTCTAACTCTGGGATTTCCCTAAAATCTTTTTTTTTTGTAGAAAATTGTTTGAAAACTTTCATTGTAATGGTCTGGTGCAATTCCTTTCTAGAGTTTTGATATTTCATAGTTATATTCTTTGTATTCTATGTAAGACATCTTGAATCAAAAAAAATCAAAATCGATCGAACAAGTTGTATTTTTCTAGATTTTGAACTATAGTCCAAGTAGATTTCACAAGTAAGTCCTCATATGCAGTCACCCATTCTTCGCTCCTAGTACTGTCATTTGTGAAGGACGTTAACGTCTTCAAGATGCATATTGAATTTGTGAACGTCCATTATCAATGGCGGTACAATGAGCGAGAGATGGGTGACTATGTATATTAGGACCTCAATCGACTTGTTGGAATTTTGTTTTTGATTAATTTTCAGTCTTTTTGTTTGCCAAAAAGTTATTCAACATATTTTGGTATTGAATTATTCAAGATATTTACTTAGAATGCAACGAATACGGCTCTGGAGTATCAAAACGCTAGAAAATCGCTCCAGACTATATTAAAATGAAAATTTTGGGCTGTTTTTTGTTAAAATATTATTATTATTATTTTATATTAGTACCTCAATCGACTTGTTGGAAATTTTTTTTTTTTGATTAATTTTCAGTCTTTTTGCTTGCCAAAAAGTTATTTAACATATTTTGGTATTGAATTATTTAAGATATTTACTTAGAATGCAACGAATACGGCTATGGAGTATCAAAACACTAGAAAATCGCTTCAGACTATATTAAACTAAAAATTTTTGGCTGTTTTTGGTAAAATTTTCCACGAAAACCTGATTTTGGGAAATCCACTAATTTTAAAATCAAACTTGATTAATATAATGTACTGTTCTTCAGATTTGGACCGTAACCAATTGGAAGCCGAAAACAATATATTTTTGGGGGGGGTGGGGGTCAAATATTAGGATTTCTAGCTTGAGTTCATGGTCGTATTAGGAAATTGTCTTAAGTCTTGGCGCATGCTGAGAAATTCATTATTTCGATGACATATATAGTGATGGAAAATATGCTTAAGAATCACTTAAAAACATATTGAAAGTTTTGGGGTCGTTACCACTCCCCCTGTTTGTGCCTGTGATTTTTATGTTCAATTTTTTGGTGATTCGTTTTTGAGAATAAACTTCTCTAAGTTTGTTTTAGTTGATCTGTCATAAGATTGGGTGTTACTTAGAGAATACACGGAATTCCAAGTTTAAATTACTGCCACGGAATTCCATGTAACTGAATATACAGGGAAATTCTATCACGCATTTTACACGAACATCCATGTCAAGAATACATGCAAGTCGTGTACTTTCTACAGGGAAAAACAGGTCGGTTTCACTTGGAATTAAGGTGATATCAACTAGGAAAGTCAGATAAATATTACCGGTAATTCCCTGCAATTTGGGCTGTGAAAACGGGATTGTCCTGTAATTTTTACAAGGCAAATTGAGTAATTTTAAGCGGAAAATACCATAAAAATTGCTGCCATGGAATTCCATGTAAAAATTTTTAACAGTGTATAAAGGATTTCAAACAAATGTCAGTGGTAAATGGATTATGTAATATTTTCAAGTGGCCTAAGTACATTGATAATTTGCTATTATATTATAATATGAAATTATACATAGTATTTTTCTGCTGCGGGATTGTGAGAATGGAAGTCGTAATCACACATATTGAATTTTATATGAAAGTATACGTGCATAGTATGTCTTATGGAATATCTTCAGTTGGTTTCTTTTTACATCGGAAAATATTGCTTCAAAAATCAAATTATTGACAATAAGTGTAACATCCAGTGTAACATTATCCGACGATATATGTTTATTAGAGATTTTTCATTTACTTACATGTATTATCAAAATAAAATCCAACTTTTTTATCAGCAGTATATAATTTAGAAAATTTGCTTAATATTTTAAATATGTTTTTTAAATCTGTGGATTATAAAAATTGACCTCAATTTAGGTAATAAAGTTTCATTACTCACTCTTCTGACAGATATAACCAGCTTCTGTTGAACATCTCCCATCAATCCATTTATAACTTGCCCCGGCATATTCATCAAACAGTTTTCATTTGTTCCCCCATTTGGTTCGTTTCCCCAATCTTTCCACCTCATCCTAGACTCGCAAAATGAAAGATTATCAGATATACTTGTGTATTGTACAAGAAACGTGCAAAATAAATTTGCCTGTATTAATGTGAAGTATAAAAGTTTAAGGTAAATTTCAGCAATAACTTTCACCTTATTTTAAGGCTTGAATTTATGTGGCATCGTAGTTAATTTCGACAATTTATTGCAAAAAAGCGCAAATCCTGATGCAATTATTTTTTCGAAAATTTGAAATACTAGTGACATTGATATTTTATATAAATATATTTATTTGGACAATAGCAAGATATTCTTCGGGCTAAACATGCACATTTAGGGGAAAAAATAAACCACTCATAATTGAAGACATGACCGTATTCAATTAGTCATTATGAATTTTACAGTAAACACGTGACCAGGAGTTGCGTAGTTTACATGTATTGTGATATATTGTTCGACGCTTCTGACATTTATAGCCGAGGTAAGCTAAGTTAGCTCGATATATAAATATATATATATAAATAATCAAATCACCAATTTGCATCAGTTTTGCTGATAGTTGTTCCATCTCCCCATTTCCAATTGCCTTCTGTCTCTGAATCACTTCCACTTGTCCAGTAATTTACGGTACCACTGAAAATAAAAATCTACTCACACTCTACTCGGTTAGAGATCGTCGATTCGCGCATACTACATAGACCGCAAGAGTATAAAAAAGCAAACCTCCGAAATATTTTTGAAATGAATTTTGCGTTTTAATATTGAGTCTTAATTAGTGATTCAGATACAGTGATTTATAAAAACTGGATATAATATTTATTGAAACATGAATGTAACGGAATACCAATGTTATGGTTGTTTAATGAGATTTTATATGAACTTCACCACGTTTTTACATTGACTTATTAAAAAGTATAACAAAGGAAAAACAGGTGTGACAAGCGTACAAACTCCGAGTAGATCAGATTTGGTACACAGAATCAAGTGGGTTCTATTATTCATAATAATTACCTCTACAACAATACTTACTTCTGAGATAGTTTTGTCGTCAACAGTGAATCTGATGCATTAGTTCTAATAGAAACCAAGCTTTTTCCAATAGCAGTGCAAGATGATTTCGCATCAGAAACTGATTTCTTTGGACTACTAATTATTGTTAAAGCCAAATTACTGTTATAAAGGATCCAAGTCAAATCTGAATACAATAATCAATTTAGGGGCTGAAATCAATCCTTGTTACAAAATTTTATAATCAAGAAAATCAGATTGTATAAGAACATTGTGTGCTCTACTATGTATGCATCCACTTTCCTTTATAGGTTTTTCAATTTTTTTTTAATGTTGCTGCAATGTTTTTTTTTTCATAAAAAATGCCAATTATATTACCAAATAAATCACCATACATTTTTGTTTCGCAATAAAAATATAAGAGTTTTAAGTTATTCAACAGCGTGGTGTCAACATCAGTTTTCGGTAACATGACTAAGAAAGTTCCCTTCCGAAACCCAATATACGAATTTAGCGCAAGAATGTGAAAGGGAACGTTCAACTCAATACATATATTTCTGATATATATATATTATAGCAGTCAAATATTATTATGTTCTATATTCTATATTTTAATATTCATATTAGTTTACTTATTAAGTGCTTCACATTTGCGATTGTCTTCTGCGTTAAATATTGTTCAAATAGGCATTTTTAAAAGAACTCGCGTAATATAAAAAATGATTGAAAAATTTACCCTACCTGATTGACATACATACCGCAACCCGACGTTGCAGTCACTGTTATACCATTTTCCATCCGATGTTCTGGATGCTCCACAATAGTTATTCCAATTGCTGCTAACAGTTCGGGGATTATCTGTGGCCCTGAAGGAGTAAAACATTTTTGCTCATAGAAATTTTAATCTTATCACTTGCACACAAGTTTTTATTGCTTGATTTATACAGTTTAGAACTTCAAAAATAAATATTTCAATATATTTACTGTTCTCTTTGTCATCAATTTTGAAAAGATATATCGAGAGAAACAGATATGTTTGGGTTATTCCAATATTTAAGAAAACCAATTAACGAAAATTCTTCCATAAAACCTCGCACAAAAGCTAACTAAAGTTAAATTTACATATAAAATCCTAAGAATCGTTAAAGTTCTTTTGGGTGTGAATACAGTGAAACATAGCTTATTATCGAAGAGAAAGATCATTTTCAGAAGAAAATATACATCACGGGTCAATTGTTTCAGAATAAAGATTCAACAGTACTTTATATTCAGGATTGTAGCTGTCGAAGAATAATTACTTGACGGTGACAAATAGAATTACTTTCGATACTAATTGAATTTTCTCAAAGTTTCATAGGAATAGAGCAAATTTTTACAGTTGGAAACCTGCCACGCCATTTAAAAAGTAGTTCAGACATACTGTAAAACCGACATTTTTAAAAATGCACTAAACCAGGGGTGGCCAACCTATGGCGCATGCGCCAAACGTGGCGCATTGCATGTTTAGAGGTGGCGCATTGCATCTTTAACCCTTTTCATGCCAAAATTGTTAATTGCACTTGGCTTCTCCACGCCAAGCCGTTTTTTGCGATTTACATGGTGACTTTTGATTGTACCTAAAATCTATTCTCCTTACTCCACGTCGCCCACTTACGGCTTGTTGGAATAAGAAACAACAGGCGATTATCGACGTTAGCTTTTGGACGGACTTTATGACATTCATTCTGGAGTTTTAGCAAATATTAGTAAAATTTACTATTTTTCCCCTACTGAAGTAAAAAGTTCAGAACTTCTGGAGAAAATAGAAAATCGTCATTTATCAGCTTGAAACATGGATTTTCCACTGCCCAGACTTCCCAAATATCTCCCAATAACCATTGAACAACCAGTTGAATTGCCAAAGCCTAAAAAATTTATTATAAATCAACCCACAACATGCTGAAAATGACCCCTAAATACCAACTTTTTCATCCAAACTTCAAATGACAGTTGTCAACAAAAGCGAAGCGTAAAATCGCTTGCTGTGACGCAAGTACTAATCTCGAAAAAGCCTGGAGTAAAATCACGCGACGCTAGGCCTGGAGTAAAATCACGCGACGCTAGGCCAAACAGCTGATTAGCAAAGGCCAATTAGAATCGAGGGTAGAGTACTCTACCCTTGGCCGGGTGGGGGCAGTAACATAAGTAACATAAACCCATTTTCACTTAGTGAACTAACCATAATGAAGATGCCAAGCAATATACAATTGGAACTAATTGACTTGAAAACTCATCCATCATTGAAAATTAAATTTGATGAGCTTTCTTCAGTCCCAAGTGCATCTGACATGATCAAGTCCTGGCAATCGTTACCCCGTGAAAATTTTCCAGAACTGAGAAAATTTGCCCAGGGTTTTATATGTCGTTTCGGAACGACATATAGATGTGAACAAACATTTTTCTGCCATGAAACTAATTAAAAGCAAAGCGAGGTCAAGACTTACAGATTTAAATTTGAAGAATGCACTGCTCCTCTCAGTAACAAACTTACCTCCAAGAATAAAAAAAACTTCGAAAGTAAAACAGCAGCAAAAGTCTCATAAAGGCGGTACTTAAATAAAATTGATCAGTTTTATTTATTATACTTCCTTGCTTAATTTCTATTCATGTGGAGTTGTAAATTGTAAAAACTACATATACGTGTGTATATGTGTGTGTGTATTATAAATTTATACAATTTCAACAAAGAGCGGACATTAGGCGTTGGAATACAAGAGATTTAAGGCGCATCTGAAACATTATGTTTAAAACGTGGCGCATGGTATGTGAAAGGTTGGCCACCCCTGCACTAAACAAATGATTACATTTTTTAGCGTATATAAGATATGTAAATAAAACGAGTACATATTATATTTCCGATTAAGTTATTATAGATATACGTCATAGTTGTCTACAAATCTTCATAGTTTCATGATGCAGAGAAAGTCACAAAAGATAATTATTACAATATTAATTTAGATTAAGAATATACTACACATATAAAAGGTATGCAGTTTGTATATCATTCATTATTTTTCAAAATATCATTTTGTACAGATGGCGTTCAAATATTAAAATATTTGTTTAAGAAAAAGTATCTGTGGAACGTGCAAACATATTGAATTGAAAGGAAACATATAATGGTATTACTAACCATTTTGTATATTTCAATGAATCTATGTTGTTCCATTTCCATCCACTGTCATGATGCAAACCGATCCAAATAGTTTGTCTGAAAAGAATTTATTTGCTACGATTTTATCTATTATTTAAATAATTATATAAAAAATCTTGTGAAAATAATCGGAGGTTTTATTTCACATATAATATACAAGTACATGATTATAGATTGTTACAGCACAAACTTCTTAAAAATATTTTTTTTTGGACCTCTTGAAATATGCGCACCAAAATGGCGCACAACCTGAACTCAGGCTGTGTACCAGGTTAGGGTTCAGGTTATGCGATATCTTGGTGCGCGTACTTCAGGAGTACCCAATAATATATCTTTATAGAGTTCATATAAGATATTGTATTAAGAAAAGAGAACCAATATCAGTTCTGTTTATACGGTTGAGAAACAATCATGTCCAAGACTTATATATAAAACTTCAAACAAGCATTCGTACCTACTGAAAAATAAAGTATTGCGCGTTTTAAATATGCATGCGACATGCGGTCATGATATTTTGTTGGTGTTTCGGTATCAAAATTTCAAATAGTATTATGTGTATAAAAACACTTTTTGCAATATGCGTACGTTATTAATTGTCTCACTGCATCTTGAGTTTCTACATCTTTGATCTCAACAAGCCATGCATTTCTTCCTTCATATACAGCCTTAGCAGCATCATAACTCTTTCCATCTTGAAATACTTCTAATCTTTAGTTTCGAAAATTTGATGTACCTGAACATGTAGCAACCATTGTATTTAAAATTTTATTTAAAATATTTAAAGAAAATATCTTTTAAAATATTGCTTTTATTTGTATAAATACTAATATCAGATTGAGCAAAGTACTTATATATAACAACTGGGTGTTAACCAATAGTTTGAATAGCATATATTGAAAAAATGTTTTACCATATAGAAAAACGTATTAAATACAACTATTACCATAAATGTTTGGAAGTTATTTAGCTGCTTGTTTAACTTATTACATTAAAATAAACACATACTTATGATTTCCCGGTTAAGGAAATCAAGCCCGTTTAGAAGATCTTTCACCATCGCAATAGACTTCATTTGAAACTGGATTCTTTATCCCTTTTACTTCTCAACGTAGTAAGTTTTAAAATTTGTACTAAGAAAAGGAGCTTGTGAGAGGGAACTAAGCTTTGAGATAAGTGTAAAACACCAATACTCGTTACATGTAAGGTACTCTATTGCAAGCCAACTTTATTTTACCAATAGTGGCAAAGTCAATCAATAGATAGATAGGATGAACTAGGTGAATATTTTAAATGAATAAAACGCATATTACGTACCGCTTGGACCTTGTCCCTGCACGACAGTATTCAGAAACAAGAAGATGATAAAGTCAAATATTTTCATATCAATTTTATTATTATTTAGTCATCCGCACATATTCAAATTTTTTATGCTGTCTTATAACAAGAAAGGTACCTATAGTTAATACAAATCGAAAAAAAAAACTCGTATTTTTATATTTACGCAACTTTCATTCAAACCCTTACCCTGAATAATTTTAATTTGATGTTACCACATGCATAAAATTTGGCAATTTTTTGGAAAGATTTTCTACCTCAATCTTGGTCGGGGGTTCTCAAACTTTTGGTATCATGGAGCCCGTAAAGAGATGACAATTATTTGCGGAGCCCCGCAATGAGTTTACAGTAATCAAAACAAAAAACACATTGTTACTTATCGATTAATGTTCATGAGTAAATTAAAACTACTTTATTCCGATGTATTTGCGGCTTCATGTTTATAAAATATTCAAATTGTGGCAACATGGCAGTAATTTGAATATGACAATCCATTGTAACTTATCGATGTCATTATTACTTATCGATATTAAGATCGGTAAGTATGTTGATAGGTATTTGTTTGTCTGTATGTCTGTTTGTTTGTCTGTTAGATGAAATCACGAAGGCAAAGTTAATTCTGCTCCAAACTTTGCATATACATTCATCATATCTCGGACCAAAAACCTATTGGTTTTGGATGAATTATGTCTTATACTTAGCGAGTTATTAATTAATTAGTGATGTGACACGCGGTGTCACTATAGAGTCATGAATCGAAACCGCAGTCTCGATCGATAAGTCTTCGGTCTCCGATCGATATTATCGTTGCTTCTTTAGACAATTACAAAGTTAGTCAGGTCAGTATTTTAATAGGTAAACGAATAGCTTGCGAGGCCTCTGGGTTTCTCTCACAGATGCATGGAGCACTTTGAGAACCTATAATCTAATAATTTTTACTTTTGTAACACCAAATATGCTTGATTGCAAGTGCTATAATTATTTAGCCTCATTTTGAAAGCAATGCTTAGTGCCAAGTCTCTCCAAAATACACAATTTATATGAAAAATAATTATATATAAAGTATCAACAAAATATAGTTTTGTAAGTTATGCTTTGTGTTATCACAAGGATTTTTACAAACTGCAAAAAAGATAAGTTATTTTTCCAATCCAATATAGTTTCAGACGAATAAGTATAAATTTTAAATGCTCAATATTTATTTGCATCTCTTCTATTAACGACCAATAAATATTACAGTATGCCATAAACAAAGCGGTAATTTAAACCTGGCAGTATCTATTGTACCTTATTTATAGATAGTACAATTTTTGAATTACCACCTTATCGCCACATTTCG